GGGTCACAGAGGCTGCAGGAGCCGAGGTGAGAAAGCTCCCATCGTGGACAGAGCTCGCCCTGAGGATCAAACACAACGACGTCTTAAGTGCAGTCGGCTGTGCTGGGGGAGAGGGAAAGGTTTGCACCAAGATCCACTACAATTTAAGCCTCTGTGCAACAGTTAAGGCCAACATTTTCAGTGACTTTAAAAACATCTAGAAAACAAGGAAGGAAAAAAGAAACATGAGTTTTCTGGCTTTTCAAGTTTTCACAAATAAAGCAGATATTAATGAAAGTTAAAAAGAATAAAGAGATTAAATGATTACAGAATGAAATGGAAAACATTTGACGAATCAATAAAAGTTTTGACAGGGAAATCAAGGAATTAAAAAAGACTCAAGAAAAATAACACCGACAAATAAAACAGACCACATTCATTTAAAAGCAGTAATTTAAAATGTAAGGAAAATGGGGAGAATCCTATTCTTATTAATTTGTATATGTAGGATAAATTAATTTCCAAGGAAATGTTATGAATATTCACTCACAAATAAGAACAATCTCATTAGGCAATGTTCATTGTTAAATTATATATCAAAATCTATCTCCAAAATAGATTCGAGAGTAAATTTGTAAGGTAAATTGCTCCAAAGGAGAAAAACGAGTGTTTGCATTAGTTAACCAAGCCAATCAAAATGTATATACCTGTACAAAAAAATTGGAAATGATATCAATGATGTTCATTGAGTATATTTTACAGAAGATATTAATACAATTTAGCCGTTTAACTATTTATTCTGGCCATTACTGCCAAGGTTAAATACTGGCACAACACGGACAAGTGCAGTTTACTGCAAACGAAAGCCTGATTCAATACTAAAAACTCTCATACGGTAATTTTAAGGATCTAAAAAAATTAGATCATGTCAATAGACTCTAGGAAACATATTTTATCTTTAAAAATAATTGAAAATCTTTAAAATTCATGTCAAATGGTGGGGAACAATTCTTGTTAATCAAGAAAATCCTAGCAAATACATTGAGCAGTAAACAAAGAAGCAGCTTCACTAAAGGCAAGGGCGAGAAGAGGGACTGGTTCGCCAGCACACAAAACCCTCAGGGTCAGGGCCAAGAGGAGAAGAAATACAATATGGCATCGGAGAGCTGGAACTGCACTTACTCTCAGAAGGCATGTAAACTGCAAACTCAAAAATACAAGGGAATCCATTTTAACTATCGTACTTAAGAATATTTTTTTAAAGTCATCAAATCTATTCTGAATATACTTACATTGGTATTTCCTGTTTAGTAACAATAACTTACAAACTAACAAAAATAAGTTTCTACTTACAACAGCAAAATATTATAACTCCCATTTGAAATAAGTTTGAGACTCATGTAAAGAAATTTTAAAACTTTTTGAGGACATAAAATGACATGATAAAAGCCTGCCAAACCAGGCTTCTTAGACCAGAGGACACAGTCACACAAAAACCTCAGTGAATGCAGAAATTTGGTGCAACCCGTATTTAAAAGTCACATGCAGTATTTCACATAAAAAAACAAATAAAAATTTTGTCTCATTTTGAGGTTGAAGATATAGCCAAAATAATCGTAAAAAGGAAAAAAATGGAGGCAGGTCAAATTACATCTGAACCTATACTATTTGAAACTTTAAAACACATCAGATTAAACGGTTAAACATTCTTAGACAATAGAATATTAGTACCGAATGGAACATATTATTTATAATATGAAATAGATGACACTTCCAAAGGAAAACACAAAAGCAAAGGACATGAAGGAAGGATTTTGCCTTCATTGCATAAACATTGTAAGACCAGACCAGAGTATGCAGAGGTGCGTGTGTGTTTGATTAAACTACAAAATATCAAATAGTATCTAAATGCACATCAAAATGAGTCAAGTAGAAAAATTCATTTTATATATACATGTCTACAATGAATAAATTTATTCAGTCACTTAATTCGTGAAACAGAAAGAGAAGCAAAGAGTTGTATTTTATTCAATTTTACAAATATATGTGTAAATACACAGATATGTGTGTATACACACACACACACACACACACACAAAGTCCTGGTTAAAGCAGGGGGAGATCTCACAAGTTGGTGGATAAGAATTTATTTGCAGCTGTTGGTAGGGGGAGGGAAAAGGAGTCTTTGCCATAATTTATTGCAATATGAAATACACCATCTCTTAATCCAGCAATCAAACCTCAATTTACCCAAAGTGTAGGAACTCTTAGATATTTGCATAGAAGTCAGTTTACAAATCTATGACCATCAAGGTCTCCTTGGGATGGATGCGCTGTGAACAATTTTAAAATCTCCCTAGACATTTAGACATTTAGAGTAATTCCAGTTTTAAACAATTACGGACTAAAACACACACCATTATGTGGAAGAAATGCTACTTTAATTTGTTATGGCTATCAGTTTCTAACTTGCCCTTCTATTGCAAAACATTAATATTTTGAAACCAAATATACAGATTTTGTTAAGCTTTCAATGCATTATACAATCAAGTAGAACAAATTTCCCCTCATCGATATTCTTTTCCTGGTTATTTCAGGTATTCCTGACTTAATTCACTACTAATGTGTGGTTTCTTTAGTCCTGGTCTACACAGAGCTGACAGTACGTCCACATCTGGCCACTCTGCAATCCCCACTGACCAACCACAATAACACCACGGACCCAGTCCTGGCCTCCCATCAATGTTGAGGCACGAAGCCCTCATCATAGTGGCTCCCACATGGAGCCACTTTATAAGCTCCCTGTGGCTGGTTCACAGTGAGATGGCATAGGTCTGGAACTGGGAGTGGACTGAGGGAACCTTCCCCAGGACCCTCGATTGTCAGAGATTAACAAGTATGAAAAACAGCATTTCAGAAAAGAAGAGACAATCAACAGATTAATACTTTTCCCAGAGAAAGAGCCAGTCCTTACTCCTCTTGATCTTCCTGCCTCCTCAGGCAAGATCAGTCTTGCTAAGTCACTTCTGAGTGTTGAGAATGTGTCATCCAGGTGTCGGAATAACTTCCTTTCCCTTTACTACAACCACACAGGTGGGGAGGAATTCAACACGTGGAAGAGACGGCCATCTGCTGTCCACTGAACCACTGGGGAAAAGGGATATGAATTCCTACAGGGAGACCATAGGTGAGTTTGCCTTTGCTTCATCCTGATGAAGCCACACATCCCATGGCAGCTATGGATGTGAGTTTGTGTGATCCTCCCTTTGAAGTCACAGTCTTTTCCGGCAGCTGCTGAGCACTGGCTCACCAGGTAAGGGAGGGCGGAGCTCTCCTTGTCTCCTGTTCCTGAACTTCCCAGGCTCTCTCCCACTCCTTTACACCCAAACTGCATTCCCAGGGCCAACTGCCACCTCCTCATTGGAGAGATACCTTTGTTCTGTTTAGTTTAAAAAGCCCTGGTCTTTTCCTAGTTGTCCTGTTACGCTGTGTGCTTGGGGGCAGGCAGAGATGTGGACTGGAGATGCTAGCAAAGAGCAACCGTCACTGGCCTCACAAGCACAGGATGGCCTCTACTGTCCAGTGGCCAGGCTTGCCCTTCTCGCTTCTGCCCCAAATAGTCCAGACCATATTTCATCCTCCTGAGCAAGAGCAACTTCTCTTGCATGGTTTTATTCATATTAATTAAAAGCATTTAACTGCTCTTTTCGAGATTATCACATTAGTACCTCAAATAAAATAATAATATCTAATTATTGGCCCTGGAAAACATAAAAGGTCAGCTACAGAAACAGTTCTGAGGGAAGTTTTAACAGATCCATCAGGAACAGACAAGCTCTGTTAGAACCAGGACAATCCAGAGCATCCTTCGTTAAAACAACAACAACAACAACAAAAAACTAAGGGAATTTGAAGGAATCATATACTTATTTGGAAACTTTAGTTCATAGACCGTTAAATTAAAAGATCACAAAAAACACCTGTTGACTAGATTATGTTTAAACCTGGTTTTCACTGTTAAAACAAAACAAAAAAACAATATCCCTTCAAATTGCACACTAAAAGAGTGTAAAATTATTTACTACACACCAGTATAGACCGGAAAAGCTTTAAAGACTCATAGTCTGAATCTGACACAATTAATTTAAAAGGTAATTTAATGTGGAAATTTAAAAAAACAACCAATATATTTGGAATCTACCCTTCTATTGCCCCAACTGCTACTATTGGTCCAAGTCCCCTCATCTACGCACCCTACTGCTTGTTGCCCAGGTCACTTTTTCACTTTGACTATGTTCCAAGTCCACCGCACCCACCCATCGCCCGTGCCCTGTTGTACCCTTTTCTGAGCCCTCGCTCTCCCTCCCTCCGTCTCCTCGTTCCTCCGTCCCTTCCCCTCACCCCCCGCCCCCGCATTTCGACACCCACAGGGATGGATGAAATGGCCCTCTGCCCAGCACGAGCTCGCCTTCCAATGGGACATCAGAAATGTGAACACACCCTGGCAGGCACAGCCAGAGGGGTAGACAGTGGACTCGGGACAGAAGGACACGACGTGTCACAGGACAGCGTGGGGATCAGGGGCCCCCCGAGAGGCGGTGACCGCGAGAGGCCCGGGGAGCGGCAGGCCCGGCTGCAGGAGGACGACGATGCGGGGGGGTCAGGACTGGGGACGGCGCAACCCCAGGGCAAGGGGACGGCCCGGCGTCCCGGGCTGACCGAGGGGCGGGAGGGGCGACTGCGGAGAAGGGCGACGACCCACGTCCCGAGACCCGTCGCGCCGGGCGGGGACACCGCGCAGGGACTCAAGGCAGAAGGGCCGGGCGCCGACGGCCTCGGGGCGCCGGTGACGGGAAACAGAAACGAGCCGATCAGTGCGACCGTCGCGGCGCCTCCCGGTCTCTCAGGGCAACGGGGTCCCCGGGGGCGGGGCCTGTGACACCCGCAAGGACCGCCGGTCCCCGAGTGCGGAGGAGGCCGCGGAGGGCGGACCTAAACCTCACAGGACAGAGCTCACTCACCGCAGTGCGACCGTCGCGGCGGGAAAGCCCCTTCCGCGTCCCCAGGAACTGACGGAGGATGGGGCGGGGCCTCAGCCAGGAACAGGCGGAGCCGGGGGCGGGGCGGACGGGGCGGAGG